CACAGAGGGCCCTAGGTCACCCAAACTCGCGCATCTGGCCCCGCGATGCGCGACGCGCGGTTATCTTCGCACCCTCGTGCCGCCGCCCTGGAGAGCGACGCCTCCACGGCCCAGGCCGCGACGCGCGAAGCGCGATTCTCGTCGCGCCCCCCCGGGTGGCCTGGTTGATGCTGGTCATCCCTGAGGCGGGCTCGAGGCCCCCTGCCCGAAGGGGGCCGTGCCTTTAGGGTGACGAAATCTGTACGCATCCGCTGGTCCATGGCCAGGCCCATCCTGAACCCAGCAGCGGTGTGTACGCCACGCCCTCCTGGCTCGGCCAGGCAGGCGTATACACAGCTCCCGGGTTCAAGATGGGTCTGGCCAGGGAGCAGCGGATATGTGTAGATTTTATCGCCCGAGCATTTGGCCCTGGGCAACGCCCAACATCCAAGGCTTGAGCTGCAGCTGAGGGCCACACTCGCTCGCACGAGCAGCTGTACCTGCCTGTCCGCTACCGCCGAGAGGCATCGTAGCCCCCGAGTCGGCGCGTCGGTATCGAGGCGGAGTGCCCCCTGACGAAGCGACTCTGAGTGTGAGATGTGGGTTCTTCAGCACGGGGATAAATGGTCATCTTCTTGTAGACTGCACCCTTCCAGAGCGAGGAATTGTAGCCCACGAGTCGACGCGTGAGCATCGGTGCTGGGCATGCTCTGGCGAAGCGAATCTGTATATGATATGTGGTTTCTTCAGCACGGGGGTGGCTGGTCATCTTCTTTGAGACTGCCCACCCCCAGAGCCTGCATGGATGAGCGAGCGTGCTCCGAGGAACCGTCGACTTTTGTCAGGGCGTCACCCCGCCGACGGGGTGTGAGGGGACGGAATGGGACGGAACATCCCCGACCCGAGGCCCCCGAGGGCCAACGATCCCGAGGTTGAGCGGCTGCGGTTACGACTTCGGAGCCCAACAAACTCTTACTCGGTCCTTGCAGCATGGGTCGCCTATCTCGTCTGTCGTTTCTCGGTCCTGGGTCGGGGCGGGATAGAGGCGCGCGCGCGTCCATGCGTGCACGACCGTGCGTGCGCAGCCCGGTCTCCAACGAGAACCAGGAATCGACGCCGCCCGCCCGCTCCTTCTTCGCGTGGCTCTCTCCCTGCTCCCACCTCGTGAACATCTCTTGGTAGGGTGGGCGGGTGACCCTTGGCGAGGGAGGTTGCCGATCTCGGCCGCCACGAATCTGATGCGTGCGTCGGTACACTGCGCAGGGTCTCCACAGCACCCAATGAAGCCCTCCTCCTTCTCCTCCTCCTCCTCCTCCTCCTCTTATTATTATTGTTGTTCTTCTTATTATTACTATTAGTCCTCTTACTATTATTGTTATTATTATTCTTATTATCATTAGTATTCTTAGTATTATTATTCATATGCTTATTATTATTATTATTATCAGTAGTAGTATTATCAGCATTAATATTATTATTATTAATATTATTATGATTATTAATATTATTACTATTACGATTAATAGTATTATTACCATTGTTATTATTATTAGTAGTATTGTTGTCATTATTATTAATAATAATAGTATTATTATTGTTATTATTATAATTAGTATTACTACTATTATTATTATTACTTTTCTTCTTAGTATTCGTAGTGTTCTTATTCTTCGTATTATTATGTTTATTCCTTTTTATTCTTCTTATTATTATAGCTATGGTTATTGTTCTTATTAGTACTATTAATATTATTATTATTGTTCGTTTTATTACTGTAATTCTTCTTTTTATTCATAATATTATTAGTCTTCGTACTATAAGTATTCGTAGTATTATTACTAGCAGTATTATCCTTAGTATTATTATTGTGAATACTATTAGTAGTATTCTTATTGTTCTTATTATGATTATGATTAGTATTATTCTTATGATTAGTGTTATGATTAGTATTGTAAGTATTAATAATAGTAATATTACTCGTATTGTTATCATTATTAGTATTCGTGTTCGTAGTATTCTTCTTGGTCTTGTCATTATTACGTATGTTTATTCGTATTCTTCGTATTATGCTTATTCGTCTTCGTCGTCTTATTATTATTAATATTGTTCGTCTTTTTATTCGTCGTTTTCTTCGTCTTCTTCTTCTTCGTCTTCGGCTTCGTCTTCGTCTTCGTCTTCGTCCTCGTCTTCGGCTTCGTCTGCGTCTTCGTCTTCGTCTTCGTATTCGTCTTCGTCTTATTCTTCTTATTAGTATCATCAGTATTTGTCTTCTTCTTCTTCTTATTCGTCTTCTTCTGATTCGTCTTCTTCTTCGTCTTCTTCTTCTCCTTTTCCTCCTCCTCCTCCTCCTCCTCCGCCTCCGGCTCCGCCTCCGCCTCCGCCTCCGCCTCCGCCTCCGCCTCCGCCTCCTCCTCCTCCTCCTCCTCCTCCTCCTCTTCCTCCTCCTCCTTCTCCTCCTCCTCCTCCTC